TTTTCTTTTCCTAACCTGCCTGTGTAATCTGCTTCCTCGATCACTTTGGGCTGCTCTCCGGAGCCCCCTTCACATTGCCAAGCTGCACTCTGAGCTCTGCACCCTCTAAAAGCCGTGTGCCCATCAGCCTCATGGGCTGCATAGGGACGCTGTGATACAACATTTTCATATACCCCACACTAAAGGGGAAGACTGTGCTACCATACTGTATTCAGCACAAAGCAAGGCAGGTATCACCACTTTCATTTCCCTTTCAGTAGTTTTGTTGTATTTACACTGGTCCGGTTTGCATGTGTTTTTTTCAGATGGCACTTTGTACTGCCGCCCCACACAGAAGATGGCAATGACTCTCCCTCCTTCCATGCCCCTCAGCACCTTCTCTACAGCATGAACACAAGACCTCTACGGGATGGTACACAGCTCCCTCTTTTTTTTCTTCTCTTTGTTTGGGGCTGGCCTTCATATCTAAGCTGTTCTGATGCATGTGTTGTTATGCACAAACACAGAAGTGCTCTGTCATATGATGACGCTACGATGCTTACACCACTCTATACATTACCTTATTGGCCAATTTCTTGTTTAGCTCCTCAGCAATGGACTCATTCAGTTTCCTCTCAAACTGCCAGGGAGGAATCCTCACCGTGTCAGTCATCTCCACCAGGACAAACATGGCGGGCTCTGGGGAGACAGGGAGAGAGCACAGCAGCGCCGGGCCGCCTTAATAACAAGCATTCAGCCCGGGCCTTGCCCGAAGCGCGGCGGGGCAGCACTCTGCGCCTTGTGAGGGGCAAAGTAAGGGGCCGAGTGAGGTTAGAGACCAGTTAGGCAGCGATCGGCCTCCCCACGAGCCCACAGCCACACCAGAGCAGGCCCCTGACCTGTGAGCCCGGAGCAGACAGCAGCAGCCCCACAGAGGCAGCAAAAACCCCGCACCGCCTCAAACCCACCTGACACAGGGAACGCCGCCGCGAGCTGCCCGTCCTCACGGCGACTTCCGGTGTAGGAGCCAATCGCCTTCGGGGGGCGGGGAGACGGATTCTGATTGACGTGTGGCCGGACCTACCGTATGGCTCTATGAAATGCGGAGGCCTCGCCCCTGGCTCCGACTTGAGGCCCGCCTCAGGTGGGGGCGGCCATTTTGTCTTCCTGTGAGCGAGGTAGGCGCGGTCTATTACTGAGGCGCTCCGTTCACTGGAGGGCTCAGTTTCTTTAAATAAAACGTGAATCCGTGAAAAATTTTCCGCAGCTGCCCGTCTCGTGGTAGGGGTTGTGGAAAACGAGAAGTTGTGCCCGGGACGTGCCCCAAGACATGGAAGGAGCTGCGGGGTGCTCAAAAAAAGACTGAGAAAAACCCACGTGTCTGCGGCTGACAGGCAAAACTGTGCTGTCAGCACCGCGGCTTTGATGCCGACACGACGGGTGTCACCCCCCGCACCCTGTGGCAGTGTGTAGCGGGCGGTAATGAGTGCTCGGGATGAGAAATAAGTTACATGTTGAGCTGTCTTGGAGCGGGAAGGGGAAAACGAGGCCACAAATACCGCATCTCAGCCTCATTAACGAGATCTGTGGTGGCTGAGGAGTTTCTGATCTGTCTGAAATTATTTCTGCTCCACCAGGGTGTCTTTTTTTGTGATGATTAAATGGCCATTCTGCACATGTTTAGTGTGTTGGCATAGCAGGTGATGGAGGATCCAGTTTTCCTTCCCAGGTCCCTGGGAGGAGTAGTGTTAGTGTCAGCAATGAGCTCTGCATGCACCACTGTTGAGACACCTCACCCCAAATCCTCTTCAGCCTACTTCAGGAGCTGTACAAAGAGACTTTCCCTTCTCCATGGCAGTGGCTGTGCTAATCAGGGTAAACACAGTTCTGCTGGCATGCTCACTGCATCCCTCGCTGTTCTGACCTGGCCCCATGCAGGTTGGATGATGCTGGGACTGACCTTTAGCTGCAGGTTTTGCAGGTCACTGTAGCTGCCTTTTCAGAAGGTGCTGTAGTTCTTCAGCACGTCCCTCTTCTGACAGCAGGGGAAGAAATAGCCTTGGTATCACAACAGAAGTTAGGTCATGTGCTAGCAAGGTAATCACTCTGGATGTGTATGTATACTCTTTTGTACATAAGAGCTGGAAGGTTAAGTAGGAGCAATACAGGGTGAATACCTGGAATAATACAGGAGACTGGGTGAACAAATGGATTAGGATGGTCACACCACATTTGCATTTCTTGCCTGCCCTTGAGCTAACATTTTTCATGCTTCCAACAATCACAACCCAATGGGGGGCTGCTGGGTGTCCAAAACAAAACAAACACATCTCCTTCAGCCTGTTGCGCAGCCCTGAGCCCCAGCTATGTGACTAGGAGGTCTGCAAGGCATTTTCTCCTTCTGGCCCATGTCTAATGGATGGTTCCTTGATGTTCTATGAAGTGCAATGGCAGAGTCAGATGAGCTGCACTGCCTTGAGATACCAGGCTACCAGCCCCACTAGCAGTTCATCAGCTTCTACCAGAAATGTCACATTCTGCCAGAAATGCTTTCCTGCAGATAACCCCTCCGACTCCAGCATGGTGCACACCTGGAGCTTCAGGGAGGCGATGGCTGTTGCACTGCTGCTGACTGGGTTTTCTCTGTGGAAGAATTCTATATTTCCATCAGCACTGGTCATAAGCTTTGTCTCTGATGTAAAAATATAAAGCCAAATCTTGCCTTGTAAAATGTTGCTGTCTCAACCCTGCTGTAGATAGCACCCAGCAGCACACTATATTTCACACTGCAGCTAAAGTAGTCTGATGTTGGAAACTGTGGGAACAGCCCCATCTTGCTGAGCACTTTCTTTTTGTCCCTATAATGCTGACATGCGAAATAGCCACAAATTCACAGAGGCTGTGCACACATTTTTGTAACCATGATGTCTCCAGAGTCTCTCAGTAGTGTTGAGAGCATTGAGGTTTTGCCAGCATATGGGGGCATGGTTCTCTGCTACTGTTTTTCTGCTGCTCAGAGAAAACCCTAGGCATGTCTCATCCTCACAACTGCAGAAAACTTGAAAACGCAATCTGAAGTTACGTGAAGGCTCAGGAAAATGAAAGAAACTCCCAAATTGTTTTGCTTATGATCTCCTCTGCCTCCACATTCCCAGGGCTTTTGGGGAAAACTGGCTCAGGGATGTTGTAGGCGGAGGTGAGGGATGATTTGCATCTAGGTTGCTGAGCCCTGCTTTGATTGACTCCAAAGGATTTACGTATCTTCTCACGTACAAAGTCCTCCACACTCCTGTCTTTGCTTCTGTCTCCACAGGCATCTCTAGCACCCCCACTCTCACTCTGATCAAAGCTTCCCCTCTTCTCCTTTTATCATTGCTACGCTTTGGACTCCCTGCCTTCTCCACTGCAACGCATGCCCAGAGCTGTCTGCCTGTCTAATGCACCTCAAGTTCCTTTCAGAGCCCCCACTGACTATACAGGAGAGTCAGTCTGATGCTCTGTCTTGTTTACCACTTGCAGCTGGGCACACAGTTGACCCTGGTGAGGATGAACAGCTATTGATGATGTTCAATGTACAACAATTCAATGGACACCTGGGGAAGTGGAGGGTGTGCCCATGCTGCACATTCCCAGCATTCTTCCAGCTTCTTCGCCCTCCTGGGCTGCTGGGGGTGAGCTGTCACCAGGAGAGGATGGGCTGGCTCAGGAGAAACTTGGACCAGAGACTGGAACAGGTGGCTGCGTTTCTCCTCTGCTTCTTTTGCAAGCTTCTGAAGGGTTGTCTGGGTGGATGAGCCTTGTGGCATCTGTAGGTTGCAAATGGGACTCGTGTTTGTTGGGGAAAACTTGAAAAGCCACAACTAGAGGGAGATAGGCACTGACAGAACCTCAAACGTGCCAGCCTGGTCCATTCCCCTGCTGCAAAATGAGGCCAGTATCACCCAACTCCCCGGTGGATGCATGCCCATGATGTTTTTAAAAATCTCTTGTGATGGAGACCGGTGCTTACCCAGGCAAAACATTGGAGTAATTAGCTATCTGTTCTGTTAGAAAGGGTTTCCTAATATCTAGCATCAGTCTTGCTCCTTGCAAGCCCCATTGCTCCTCACCCCAACAGACACAACGAACAGTTGATTCTTGTCCTCATTGCAGCAAGTGCTCCCATCACGCTGTGACCCCAGGAGAGGAACTCTGGGGGTGATTCATTATGTTGCCTCTCCCCACAGAGATAACTCTCAAGCACGGTCCTATTGGCACAGGGCAGAAGAGGAAGAAAGGATCTTTTGGGATGGGGACCTGCCATATGGCAACTCCAGGAAGGTGATGCTCAAAAAGCAGAATTCCCCTCCTGACCATACATGCCATACAGGGAGAAGAAGCAGGACCTGCGCCAGCACGGGATGCGGCATCACCATGTGAGGAATCATGTTGGGCTCGCGTCCCTCCCTTTGCTGCCCAAGCCCAAGCCCCTGATTGTGCCATGGAGTGACCGTTCACTGCGGGGTGCCAGGAGGCTGCAGGCAGCAGGAGCTGGGGAGAGCTGCAGGAACACCAGCAGGGTTTGGGAAGATGTGGGGAGAAGCTGGAACCCCTCGCTGGGTACACGTGTCCCCCACCACTTTGTTCCCGCAGCCTGCAAGGCTGCCTCGTGCCGTGTCAGGCCGTGCCACCGACGTGGGCATGCGTCATGGTGCTCGAGCAGAACGATGCAGCCCCTCCACCCGCCCCCCCCCCCCCCGGAACGGCGATGACCAGCCTGATCCCTCCCACCTGCCTGCTCCCCCTGGCCTGGCCCTGACGTCAGGGAAGGCGTGCGGATGCGTGTGTGCAGGCTGCACATCATACACACATCAGGCACCGCAGAGACGTCGGGAGGCAGCCGGCAGCCGGCAGCGGAAAAGCCCCCGGAGCCGGGCTACATGCGAGAGCTCTGCTCCTCGCCGGGCAGCAAAGGAGCGCTTCCCCGTCCCCACCGTACGCTGATGCTCTGCGATCCGCAGCTCCAGGGAGCCCCTCATTGCTAAGGAGGTAAGGGCAGGCACGACGGCCGTCGGCTATTGTAGCCAAAGGTTCAGCTTCATGCACGGTGTTTGCTTACAGGGCTGCTTTTTATTTTGGGAGAAGTGTGAGGGTGAAGTGTGGCATCCCTCCTCTTTTCCTCTCCTGATTCCCCAGCAGCTCCCAGACAATGCCTCCTCCGGGGCAGGCAGTGCTGCATGGCCACTGTTGCTGGGGGCACATCGTGCTGCCAAACTGAGCTCAGCTGGCACCAGCTCTCCATCACCGACAGCAGGAGAAAGCGGCGGGTGAAAACCTGTCCTGGTAGAGGTGGGGGCTTGAATGGATGTTTCTTTGGGGCTGGCTGTGCTATTCATTCCTGCAGACAGTAAGTTAGATCACAAAGGAGAGAGAAAGGATGAAAGGATGTGGATGGGGACATTTGCGTGAGGTCTTTGAGCCGACAGTACTCTGATTTAAAATCACAGCCAACCACAACCGGGCAAATCCCCCAAACCCGGTTGTCGGGCAGCGATGCTTTATGCATATATACTCCAAAGGTAAACCAAGCCTCCATGATGGCTTCTCCTCTGGCTTCCTTTGGCTTGTGGCAGCTCTCCCCACGGCCTCCCTGAGAATCCAGCGGTACCGACGGAGGGAGCTTTTTATAATCAACCCATAAAGGTGACATTCATATTTTAGCGCTAACGAGGCTATATCGTAGGCGAGACGATCTCAGCAAAGATGCTTGGAGTTGTGAGTGTGATTGGCTTAGATGGGGAGGGGAAGCTTTAAGTGTGTGTTCCCAATGAAAGCTGGCTTATCTTTTGTATAGTGATTCATTTCAGCCAAGGGGTTTTTAGCATGCAGGATACGTGGAGGAAATTGTTCCACTCTTCTTTAGCTCTTAATGGCATGATCTAGTAACCAAAAAAAAAGAGGGAGGGGGGCTATGGGGCTTTCATTAGCATTGGACAGAGACAGCATTTAGAAAACCTGAGAGACGCCGGGGCTGCAAGGACAGAGGACGGCTGAACGTTTGCTTCCCGGCTGCCCCCTCCTGTTACAACAGCCCCTTTCTGGGACCAAAAGATGAAACCCACAATTTCACACCCAGCTCGTGGGCCACGCTCCGATTCCCAAAGGGATGGCGCAGGGTTGCAGCCCCCTGGACTGGTGGGAGGCCCAGAACCCCAGGGCTGGGTGAAGGCAAAAGGATCCCAGTGGGGGGAAGGAACACAAAGAGGAGCTGTGTGGGAGGGCCGGGGGGCTGAGGGAGATGACACCAATTAAATATGGATTGCGGGTGACGCGTGAGGGCTTCGTGCTGCTGCTGCTAACGACCGGGGAGTGACAGCGGCCGGAGCTTCTGGGCCACCGCCTCACTGTGAGGCTGTGGAGTTAAACCGGGTCACAGCAGCACCCACCCGAGGGTATGTGTTTATGAGGAGTGGGGCAGACAGCGACTTTGTTTGATGAGCTGCATCGTGATGAGCAAGGCTCTCGGATCTGCAGATAAAAGCCGACGTGTCTCCTGCCTGTCTATCCTAATTGGTGCGGGGTTGGTGCACGCGCCCGCTGGCAGCTCTGCACGGAGGCCTTCTCTCAAAGAAACAGGGAGGCGAAACCGTGGCTGTGCCGAGGCGGCAAGTTCTCTGGGCCCCAGCCTGCAGCAGCCTCAGCTGCCCCGGATTTCATCCCCACAGTGTGGCTGAGTGCGGGGTGGGCGCAGGGAGGACATACCCACAGCTCCCCTCTGTGGTTTTCCCCTTCCCTTTGTTTGCTGCGGGGACTCAGAAGAGGTGGGAATCAGTGTCCCAAGGGATGTGGGCCCTGTGGGCCCCTTCTCTGATGTCAGTTTTGCCTCTAAGCATTCTCCTGTCTCGCTGCTTCTGCTTCTGTATGGGATCGTGGTGCTGAGACGGCCATGGGCGGTGGGCAAGGAGAATGGGCGTGCTCCTTCCCAACCGTGCTGTCTGCTCCAGAAACCTTTTCCCATGTCCTTGGTGCTTGCTAATTTCGGAGCAGAGGTGACCCCTTTCTTCACGTTCCCCGAGGGCCCTCACCTCTCAGTGTGAGTCAGAAAGCAAATTAAAGGCTCTCTGGGTTTCCTGGCATGCAATCCCAAATACACCACATGGGTGTGGGGGGCTGAGGGAGGTGCATCGTGTTAGATGCAGCCACCGAGGGGGAAAGAAATCCACAGGGTGTGGGGTCTCTGAGCAGCTCCAGAGCCAGGAGGCTTAAAAACACACAAAACCCTAAAAATGTCACCAGCTGGGACAGCCTTCCCATGCCTATGCCAGCTCCTGCTCTTTGGCACATGACACTTAGTTCCATCCTCCCGCCAATCATCCTGCAGCTGAACGCTGGGGCTTTTCTGCTTTTGGGGGCCAAAACACACAGGCTTTAATTCTGGGCTCAAACAGTGCGATGCCGACCAAGAACCTGAGGTCGATGGCCTCAGCTGACCTGTAACTACTCCCCCATTCTCCCTGCAGCTTGCTGAAGCAGACCCCTGCCTGCTGCTCCCCACACCCAGCCCCGAGACGGAGCACCCCGCCGACCCCACCATGTCATCAGAGCCCGGCGCCCCGCCGGCCGTGCCCCCTCTGCACTCTCCCAAGTCCCCGGTCTGGCCCACCTTCCCCTTCCAGCGTGAGGGCAGCCGTGTCTGGGAACGGGGCAACCTCCTACTGCGGGACCTGCCCAGCCCACTGCCCACTAAGAGGACCAGGACCTACTCTGCGTAAGTACCCAGCAGTCTGCAGGGGATTCTGGAAATGTCTCTCCGGCTGCACGTTCAGACTTCTCCATCCCTTCCCTCCTGCAGGACGGCACGTGCCTCTGCCGGGCCTATCTACAAGGGTGTCTGCAAGCAGTTCTCCCGCTCACAGGGCCATGGGTTCATCACTCCAGAGAACGGCACAGAAGACATTTTTGTCCATGTGTCTGAGTAAGTCCACACAGTGCTGGGTATATGGGGGATAGCCGGTGACCCGGGGCTGGGGTGATGCTGTGTCCGTGGGTGATGGTCCATCCATAGCTGATACTCTATCTCCATATATCTAAGATCCCACTGCAGGTGGGTTTCTCCCATGTGCTGGGTGCCTTCCTTGGTGCTGGGGGGCTTCATCTCTAGGCCCCACGGCCCCATCGCCTCCCCTCTCCTCTCCCACAGCATCGAGGGGGAGTACGTCCCGGTAGAGGGGGATGAGGTGACGTACAAGGTCTGCCCCATCCCTCCCAAGAACCAGAAGTTCCAAGCAGTGGAGGTGGTGCTCACCAACCTGGCACCCCATACGAAGCATGAGACGTGGTCTGGGCAGATCATCGGCTCCTAGGTGCCTGGGGGGCCTGATGGCCGCTCGCGGGGAGCTTGGGGAAGGCTGGGCTGGCGAAGAGGCTGGGGCCACTCCTCAGCACGCAGGTGTTCACGTTCGGTGTCTTTTCTAAGGTTACAGTTTCCTTTTTGTGTGTGTTTGTACCTGTCTTTGAGGGGGATGGGGAAAGCGGTGTCCTCCCCACTGACTCCCCAGCTCCTGGGGTAGCACTGAGTCCCACCTCCTTGAGCCCAAGGGGAGCGGGAGGACTGATCCTGCCCCCATCCCACTGCAGCCTGAGGCTTGTGGGGGGCTTGTCCCCGCCTCCCCAGCCCTGCTCTGGCCAGATGGGCAAATCACTGTGCCGGGAGGGGACAGCTCAGCCCCTTCTGCCCCCATCACCCCAGCCCCCCTGGAACCCCGTCCTGTGTGTGCCTGTGTGTGTGTGTCCGTAGGTCACCGTGGGGCTGGAGGGTTTGGTGATCTCCCTCTGCTCATGTTCCACACTGACACCTCCCGCCCCCTCGGTGTAGACAGGGTCTCGTATATAAAGCACAAATTAGTTCTCAGTCCTCTCTGCCATAGCTTGGCTAGGTGGGCTCCTGCGGCCTTGGGAACGGGAAGGGGAACCTGGGAGTTGTGAGATGTGGACGTAGGGATGGCCCCATGCCATGCCCCAGGCAGTTAGCCTGGCCAAGACAAACTGTTGGATTTTTCTCTTTTCTTTTCTATTTTTTGGGGAAATAAACTAAAATCCTAGGATTGTTGGTGTTTTTACAACTCTGGTGTGGTTCCTGCCTGTCTGACCTTGTGTCAACCTTTGTAACATTGGCAATAAACCATTAAAAGTGACTTTCCCACGAGCCCTGCCCATCCTGCCTTTTTGTGTGTAAGTGCACCCTGCAGGGGACCCAGGAAACCCAAGGCTTGCCTCAGACACTCACCAATGCTGTGCACTGCACCTCAACTTCAGCAGAACTGCTAGAGAGGTTCCAGAGGAGGACCACAAAGATGCTCAGAGGACTGGAGCACCTCTCCTATGAAGACAGGCTGAAGGAGCTGGGCTTGTTTAGCTTGGAGAAGGCTGCAGGGAGACCTCACTGCAGCCTTCCAGTACTTAAACAGAGCTTATACAAAGGATAAAGTTTTTATACAGTCTAATAGTGACAGGATGGAGGGAATGGCTTTAAAGTAAAAGACAGGAGATTTAGGTCAGATGTTAGGAAGAAATACATTATTCAGAAGGCAGTGAGGCAGTGGCACAGCTGCCCAGAGAGCTGTGGGTGCCCCATCCCTGGGGGCTCAAGGTCAGGTTGGATGGGGCCCTGCACAGCCTGAGCTGGTGGGTGACAGCCCTGCCCATGGTAAGGGGTGGGACTGGGTGGGCTTTGAGGTCCCTTCTAATCCAACCATTCTGTGATTCTGATTCTCTGGTCCTGCAGGGCCTGCACCCAACACTTGAGGGCAGAGCAGAGCTTGCACACACTGACAACTGCACACTATGGCTTTAATAGGATTTGTATACATATATATTTATATATTTATTTCTTTAAATTTATTTCTAATCTAACAGTTGGAACCAGTCAGACAGGAGCTGCCCATCTCGCACAGATACAGCACCATATGGTCCCCACCACATCCACTCACTCACACACCCATGGGGAGAAACCCGTGGCCGTGCTTTGGGGCAGGCAAAGGGAAGCCTCTCTGCCTCTGAGATACTCCAGAGAACCCAGCCAGACTGCGGCCAGAGCTACAGCAGGACAGGTTGTCCCCTCATTCACAGCATGGGCAGCCCTACAGACAGCACAGGGAGCAAACAGATCACCTCAGCCCCCAGGGCCACCACGGTGCCTTGCAGCCTCACGACCAAAAAAATACAGAAATCCTGCTGACTTGGAATAGACTCACAGGAAAAATAAACCACAGCCTGAGCCTCAGTGAAAGAGGAGAAACACAAAACACAAGGTTCCTCCATGAGGGTTGAAGTGGAGGGTCAAAATGGCAGCCCGTGAAGAGGGCACTCCGCATTCAGGCTTCTCCAACATGTCCCCCTCTCCCACAGAGATTTTATCTGGGTAGAGAGGTATTTGTGCATTTGTTGGAGATTTCTGGATGCCAAGTCACTGCACTCATGCAAATTGGACACATTACAGACTGATGTGTTTAAGAGGTACCGTCACACGGAGAAGAAAGCACCCACCAGAGCTGGTCACACACCACTGTAGCGTGAGCAGGGCCAGGCAGCGGGACCAAAGTCCTCTCAGGGACTGTGAAAAGCTGCCCCAGCCATGGAAGCACCAGCTTCTGCTTTGGTCCCGTGATTAAAGGGTGGCAGCCTTTGGGAAACTTCTCTCTGAGCCCCAGCTCCAAGGTGGGGCCACAGCGATGGGCAATGACAGTGCGAGGACAGCAGGAGGAAGCAGGATGTACCAGGAGAGCCGAGCACTGGGAAGGAAAGTGACTTAGTCTGCTGTGAATGCCTTGGGTAAGGCTTTCTAGTAACATATCTGTGACACCTGATGGACACACGGGTGGGAAGACTGAGCACTGGCAAAGTCTGCCAAGACAGGCTGTGGGGTCTCCTCCTTGGAGACCTCCAAATGCCATACACCCAGATGTAGGTCTGGGCACCCTGCTCCAGGTATAGGGTTGGGCCAAATGGACCCAAAGGTGCCTCAGCCATGCTGCAATTGTGTGCAGGCTTCTGGGAAGCGCCCTGGCAAAGGGGGAGGGGAACATGAGAGGCAAATTCCCTTGTGCAGAGGTGTTGGAAGCGCAACACAGCTAAACAGAGAAGGGAGCAAGGGAAGGATGGACAGACATGCACATGGACAGACGTGGTTAAATTTGGCCCTGGCATTTGGGTCCTGAAGGCAGGAATGTATTGCTGCCCACCGAGGCCCCAGCTGGCAAGAGAGAAGTTCTGCTGGAGGAAGGACTGCCTGGTCCCACAGACCTCAGCTGTGACAAACTGGGAGTGCCAAAGGGCTGACCAACAGCCCCCTTCTCCACACCCCCTGGACTCACACAACAGCTCCTGACCAGCACCGGCAAGTGTTTTTCAGTCTACCCTGAGCAGATTCCTCAAACGAAGGTGCTTTTCCTTGTGGGGGAGAGAAGGGAGGAGGGCTGCAGGGCCCTCACAGTCAGCACTCATTTGCTCTCTCTGGAAAGAAGATTTCACGGCACCGCTGGACCGTGTCCTGGGGGGACTGGACGCTGTGTCCCACCGTTCGGGGGTCGTCGTAGATTTCATAATCATTCCCTCCCTGCAGGGGAGCAGAGAACAGGGAAAGCATTAGCAGAGACTCCTTGGAGAATCCGCATCCTGCAAGGAGCCTCCACTTGCTGCTGCAAACACGCGGAGAGCATCCCCCACTTGCACACCACTAAAGGGTTGTGGTAGCCGCTGGAGCACCACAGGCACCACTGAGTGAGGAGAAAGCAGCCATGTGAGGGGTGAGCAGGTTGTACTCACAGGGGTGGTCTCGTTTCCAAAGAAGTGGATGGTGTCAAACCTCTCATCGTCCAGCACGTTGAGGCAGTAGCGCTTGTCCCAGCCCTCTGGGAAGACGTCAAAGCTGATCATGCCACCTGCCAGCAGAATAGTGAGTGTTAGCAGAACAGCCTTGAGGTGGTGGGATGTCCCCCTGCCCCAGGCTTGGGGGTCAACCTGGAGCCCTCCCCATACAGCTGTGCCCAGTGGCTCTCTGGCATGTGATATTAGGAGGTCGCAGATGCTGTTTCTATGACAACAGGCTGAATGAAATCAGCAGGGCTGGGTGACAATAGCAGGACTCCATGCCACACGTGCAAGCAGGCAGCAGCAGGCTGCAGGGGGAGCTAGTAGGGAAGCACCAGACATCCGTGTGCTGCTAAGATTTGGAGCTACACCTTGCAGATAGTATCAGTGTGTGCTGTGTTGGGGCAGCAGGGGACAAAGCACATGTTGTCAGCTACTGGCACTGAGAACTCTCCCAGGCTTCTGCATGGACGTCACACTCTCCTGCTTTGGAAATAACTGAAATAAAATGCTGCACTGCATTATATTCTCTCCTTTCATGAGAGCTGGGCAGTGAGAAGGGCTCCTGGTGCCAGCTGGGAGGGGCAGGAAGCCAGTCGGAGTATGGAGAAGCAAGATACCAAGGACACCAAGCACTGCCCCTTGCCTGGGCACAGCACAGGGCTGCAGTGAGGTCTCCCTTTGCTGCCCACCTTCCACAGCCTGGGATGAGGCTCTCACAGCCAGCTTGTCCCACCAGCCTCATTTCCATGTGTCCTTGCCCCTTTGCCCTCTGCCCAGATTTCCACCTTCTTATGTTACACAAAGCTCTGCAGAATGTCTCTTTCTGGCTTCAGCCCTGTCCCTTAGATAACCTCATTTCTCCCCCAGTGCTGGCCAGGTTCCCAGGATTGCTGAAGCCCCTCCTTAGCTCCCTGCCTTGTCTGTAAAGCACCTCTAGCCCCAGAAGCAGCCCTACAAAAGTCCATGACACACAGTGCCAGCTCTTCTTCCAAGGAGAAGGATGTTTCCCTAGCAGCCAGCCCTCCAAACAAAACTCTGAGCTGAGAACACGAGGCCCCTTCCTCTCACACCACCGCATTCCTGGAGGAGCCCTGCAGAGGACTGAATGTGCCCAGAGCTCTGCTGGCAGCCCTGCTGCTGTGCTTGAGCCAGAGCAGAGCTGCTGCACAGGGGTGGGCTTAGCAGAGCTATGAGGAATAAGGCACTGGTAGCGTCATGGGACAGAAAGCAGTCGGCTTGGCTGATGCTCAGAGGAAAAACCTACGGCACAGTTTATTCCTGGAATCATAGTCTCACTAAGGTTGGAAAAGACCTCAAAGACCATCTCATCCAACCGCTGAGCCATCACCACCTTGCCACTGACTTGCTGCAAATGCAAGCATGTTCCTCCCATGGCAGCTCTCCAGGAATTGCAGCTTGCTGAGCAGTCTCTGGGGTCTTACCAGAGAGCACAGCCTCTGGGATCCTGGATCCTCACAGGGATCAGCCTCAT